AGTACTGGGATTTCAGAGACCTTCCAGGTATTAATGCAGGTTTAATTGGAGACCTGCTGGTCAGGACATCCTCAACCGCCAAGAGCAGATGCTTACAGGCACACACTTCCCCCTTTAACCAGCAGGGCTACATGTGTATCATACCTCAATATGCATTTTCCATGGAGGCCAGTCTCAGGGTGACAGCAAATATGACAGACACTCAGGGTGACTGTATCAGGGTAATAGCAATGGCTCGAGGATGGGGAGGCTTGGGGAAGTCAAGGAGCGGAAGGGCTTCATAACTTACCACTTTCCTCTCTGGCGCTTGAAATGAAGAATGTTAATCACTCATAGTACTGTGTACATAAATGAAATGGCTGTCATCTCCCACTCACTTCCATCTGCTCTATCACACTCTGACTTCCAGCTCCCTCCCGAAGGAGACAAGGCAGGCGTTATGTGAGCTTCTCAAACAGAGATTGGTCCCAAAGAGGTTCCCTGACTTGCTCATGATCTCTGGAAAGATCCTCTGGAAAATGTTAAAGTATTTTACCCTTGGACAGCTATGCGGTTGGTGATGGAGAAGCTGATTTCATACCTTTCTGCGTGCTTAGATTTTTATTTGTCTTATGATGACTACTTTTATCACTGAAAAATGTTCAATTTTATCAGAAGGAAAGAAAAGGAGTAAGAAGGAATTCAATGTTGTAATGTGGTTCCAGAATCCCTTTTGGAGCCTGCACTGGATAAAAGATCACCAGTGTTATTTTGGTATATCCTAATACAAATCAATTCATAGCGTAACATGACTAGCTAACATTTTTGAGGATTTACTGTGAGGTAGGCACAACTGAGAATCACTTAAGAGTTACTGATTCACTCAATGCCTACAACTCCAGGAGCTAGGTATCATTTTATAGATGAGGAATAAAGCAGGAAGACACTGGGCTAGAATTGTGCAGTGTGCTCTTCCACCTTCGGCTATACAGTTGCACTTGGCCTCTGGATTGCACAAGAGTAAAAAGGTACTCACCTGTCTGCCAAGCTCTGCTCAGGGTCCTCCCCTCTCCCTCTTAGGTAGATCACAATCTCTCTCCTCGCATATCACAGAGCACGGAGACAGAAGAGTGGGCTCTGGAAGTCGGCAGCTATTGACTGCATGCGGGCACTGAGCCCGATGCAGAGGAGTCCCTGGAATCAGCTCTGGGCTGACAGCCCACTCTTCAAAATCTCCATCTTTCCACCTTTTCCAGCAGGAAGGCTGGAAAATTCAATCTCAACTTCAGCATGAAGTTCATTCGCTAAAACCTGGTCTTGTCGATTCCCCATATAACCCCCTTCATCATACAAGTATCACATAAAATATGGGTCTCTGCCTGGTTTCAGATCAGCCAGAAGCCAACAGGCAAAGACACAGACTCACAGCCTCTTCATCAACTGCAGACTGACTACCTGACATAGCCCTTCTGCGGGCGGTGTGGGCAATGGCAACGTGGGACATACAGATCCTGTGGTCCTCATGAGGGCAGAATGTAAGAGATAAGAGGAATCAGGTGCTCTTCACGGTCAAGGGGAAAGCTCGTATGCTGGCTGTCAGGAATGCTTTCAGCAAAGACTTTCAAGGGCACACCCTGAGGTTGCAGCCCCCTGGACTGCACGGCTCTGGGGCAACACAGACAGGAACCAACGTGTGTTAGACACCAAGTACAAGCAGGACGCTGTCCTAGGCCACCAAGTAAACACTTTCACACACAGCTCTCCATCACAGAATAGGGGGTCACAAATAAAAGCGCAAAGTCAGCAAAGGGAACCTGCTAAATGCTTGATACAGAGAGATGCTACGTCTTCAGGGAGGCATGACAGGCTGGGTTCGGGGAAAGCCACACACAGCTGGGGCAGATGACATTGTCCTGAAGGCAGAATGGAACTTCCCAGAGGTGCAGTCCCCAGATCACCGGGGAACACTTTTAAAAACACAGATTCCTGAAACCCATACTGATTCAAAAGCTTTAGGCATGATACTTTGGAATCTGCATTGTCATTATTACGAAGACAAAACATACAAAAAAATAGATAAAAAACTGAACCTCCAGGACCCCACCATTCAGATTCAGTAATCATCAATTCAGAGGGCCATCTTCTGTATCCTTGTCTACTTCTCCTCCTCCTGTGTTACGGAATCTGCACTTTTTTTTTTTTTAAACCAGAGACTCTGAGGCAGTTAGACCGTGGATGTGAAATGGGAACCACTGATCGAGACAAGTGATCAGTGGGGTCAGTGGGGAAAGGCCCAGAGAAATTAGAGTGGTGCTTGGTGTAGAACAGCAAGTCAGCTGGAGGACTTCGAGGGCAGGATGCATGGTTAGGGGGATGCTGATAAGGGTCAACAGTCATTTATATTTCCTGCATCAGTCATGTCCCAAGTATGGCCTCAGGCCCAATATTCCAAGTAAGGCTGTTTCCCTGTTAGTAAAGTGTGGGAACTGTACTCATTCTCACAGAGATGGTGTGGGACAACACAAGAAATGGCAGTTCTTCTTCTGGCCATTGGCAAATGATGAGGTCCTGCCTTGTAGTACAGATGATTTCACATAGCTGACTCTTGGATTCCTAACTAGCTTTTCATTTTTCTTTTCAAATTTTTATTAATATATGTTTGCAGTATGTAATGATTATACTCATCATGGGGCGTCAGTACAGGCACATAACACATCTTGATTCTTTTTATGTCCCCTTCCCTTCTTCTGTCTTCCGCCCTAACTAGTTTATGAATTACTCTGAGGGGTAGGGATTAGGGTTTTAAACTAACGGGACTCAACATTCGTACTTGCTCTTTATTGTGGGCAAGACCAGAGCATGCAGGATTAAGAATGAAAGAAGAGGGGCCGGAGATTTATCTCAGTGGTGCCGGTGCCTGTGTAGCAAGCACAAAGTCCCGAGTTCAATCCTGGTACCAAAAAAAAAAAAAAGAATGAAAGAAAACTGAGGGGTGACAAGAGAAGAATGAATGGCCCTTCAGAGGGTCTGCAAAGCAAGGTGGATTCCCCACAGGCCCAACCTAAATCCAAGGTGGCCAGGGCCAAGTGTAGCAATGACAGCCTCAAACTGAAATTCACCACCAGGCAAAGCAGAGACTCAGTTTGCTAATGGAGCCTCTGGTTGGATGGAGGAGGCACAGAGGAGGCAGGAGTGCTATAGGCTGGCAGGTGAGTGGGAGGAAAGAGAGGTGTGTTGGCCCATCACAGACACAGCCTAAGGCAACCCCCAGTGGGCCATGTACTAGTATAATCTCTTAATTCCCTCCCCTTGAGTACGAGGGACCCAAGACTTACCCCTAACCAATGGAATGAATGTGGCAAAAGTGATGTTATGTCACTGCTGTGATTATGTTACATTATATGGCAAAAGCACAGGGATTTTGCAGATATAATTAAAGCTCTGAATCATTTGAATTAATCAAAAGAAACACGATCTTGGATGGACCTGATTAGAGCCCTTGAACACATTCATGATGGGGCAGTAATTGGTGTGTCTTGCTGCTTGGCAGCTCTAAGCCACTGGCGATATATGTATGACTGTCCCATTGGATCGCATGGGACAGTCAGGCATGTACCACAGGGGCTTCAGGCCAGCTGGAAAGTGTTAGAAGAGCATCTGGCCCTTCCCTGAGGTTAAAGATTTGAAGCAGGGAAGACTGACTTTCTTGCTGGCCTTCACCAAGCCATAGCCACATGAGCTCTAAAGCTGTGAGGAAGATAATTCTGTCATCAGTCCAAGAACCTATAAAATGAGTCCAGGCTGCAGATGAGAGCTGGGCCTGTCTGGTACCTTGATCACAGCCTGGTGACCCAAGCACAGAATGTAGGGAGGTGTGCCTGTACTCCTGACCCATGGGAACCAGGAGAATAAACGGGGTTAATGCCTCTAAAGTTTGTGGTGATGGCTGATGTGGCAATAAGGAATAACTACGTGGTCTCCCGAAGTAGAGAGCCACGAGTGCAGGGTGAGGAGCATGGGCTCCTTCATCTGGGCTGCAGGAAAGCACTGGCCACCTTTTCCTCACTCTAGAAAGCTCAGAGATGCAGAGAGAAGGAAGTCTGGGGTGGGGTTGACCAGAGCCTCCAAAGAACATTCAGTTAGGCCAGGCCACTGTTCCCAGGAACAGACCAGAAAAGTTTAGGTGAGTGACTAAGTGCTGGGTTAAACCAAACCAGCTACTCTCTCACCCAATTAAAGGAATAAAATAAAACAAAAAAATGGAGGGGGCAAAGACCAAGTAAAGAAATTGATAGTCATTGAAAAAACCTTAAGCAACTTTCATGTCCTTGTTACTAATTATAAATATTTACTCCTCCCAGAATTCTTGACCTCACAGAACAGTCTGTGTAAATACTTATGCACTTATGCTCCCTTACTGGAAAATGTGTGTGTGTGTGTGTGTGTGTGTGTGTGTGTATTCTTTGGAAAGGGACTGGGCAGCAATAAGGGACTGGACGATCTTCAAAATGTCACTTCCTGTCGAATAATGTCTAGTTGCCATTCCCCACCCCAGATCATAAACCCCTAGACCCTAAGTGGCTCCCTCCTTCCCTGATTCTATCGGCAGGAGACAGCTAGGCCAAACAAACTGAGGAAGTGGCAAGAGATCGGAAGGGGAGGAAGTTCCTGGCACAGAAGGAAAAAGTCAAGCGAATGCCCTGATGTTCAAGGAAGAGGGTGGGGGGGTGAGAGAAATGAAGGTCACCCCAAGGTTGTCCGGCACCAAGCCTTTAAACGTCATGTTGGAGCTTTAAATCAAAACTGGCACAAACAGTTGGTCAAATCTCCGGAGGCCATTCAAATATTAACATTCACAGTGATGAACAGCCCCTCCCCCAAGTTCTCTGTAAGCAAATTGGAACAAACAACTAATCTAAAGCTGGTTGCTGGGAGACCAGTTGGGCAGGAGCCAAAGTCAGTGCAAATATCTGGAGAAGTCTTTGTTCCTGAGTTTCAGGAAAGAGGAGAGAAGGGGCTACCTGTAGATCACTCCATGCTGGTGGAGGAACATGAGCGCCGACGTGACCTCTGCAGCGTAGAACCGGGAACGAGGCTCATCAAATTTTCGGGAGCGCTGAATCTGGAACATGAGGTCTCCACCGTTGACATATTCCATGACAAAAAAGAGGCGATCCTGAAAGGAGAGAAGACAATACCATCAGGTCATTTCCCAGCAGCTGCCTACACCAGCCAGCATGATGTAACACTGACAAAAGCTAACAAGACCCAAGGGGAAGAAAGCTTGGAGGTGGGTGAATGCTTGTAGCACACAATCCAAAAGAGAAGATAAAGGAATAGGCACACAAATTAGGGTATGAATTAGGATATTATGTTAAAATGTCTTTGCCTTACTTTTGTGGACATCAGCTTGATCTAATGGAAGAAGCCTGAAACTGACAGAGGAGAACCAGGTCTTGGATTTGATCATAACTTTAGCTGTGGCACTGGACAAGTCTCTAGGTGCTAGGTACCTTCACCTGTGTGGTACACTGTTTAATGGTCCTCCACAAGGGTCCTGATTCGCGGCATGTGTGAATGATTATAGGGCACAAAAAGACTTTGTAGACATGATTCAATTGGGAATCTTGAGAAGGGGGGATTAGGGTGGGTCTCCAGGCTTAAATTGGTGTGGTGCAGCCATCAGTCAAAGAGTGCAGGAGGCCACCAGAAGCCAGAAGAAGCAAGGAACAGAGCCTCTGGAAGGAGACTGGTCTATTGCCCAACATCTACATTTTGCCCTGGCAACACCAACCTCAGACTCTGCCCTCTAGAACTGTGAATCAATTCTATTGTTTTAAAGACACTAAATTTGTGGTAATTTGTCAAGGCAGCTCTAGGAAACCTGAAATAACGTAATGTGAAATAAGTTGCAATACCAGTGACAGGAGGAAAGAGAGGAAATGACCATTTCCTGTGAGGACTACTTTTGGCTTTGGGGATTGTTCCTTCTAGGGTTCTTATGGCTCATTCCTAAGGCATCCTTCCGAACGGCCAAGCTACAGCCACACCTCACTGCAGGTGGCACCTCCTTATCTGTAATCTATGCTAACATGGAGAGAGGATGGATTGAAATCCACTTTTGTAGTTTCTTGACATTGTTTTTTCTAAGTGCCTAGCTTATGGGATGCTGTGCAAAGAAATATTAGCCATCATTGCTCTGGGGAGATTACAATCCAGGGCTGGAGATGGGGAATGGGAAGAATGATGGAAATGAAACAGCCCAGGAGCACAGTACACTAGAGACAGTGGGTGCCGAAAGGATTTGGAGAAAGGGCCACTGTCTGATGTGGAAGATGCATGGAGTGTTCTAGATGGAAACAGGGTATCTTAGGGACCAATAAAGTGACCAGGTCAGTTGGGAAGGAAGGTTAAGGGACAAGAAGGGAAAGGTGTATGGTTAACATATAGACAGAGTCTAAGTGAAGTTTCCCCAAGGAGATAGTTTTCCATCTAGACTGTAATAGTCATCCCTGGTGCTGCTTTATGTAGGAAGCATGCTTCCTTCATTATGTTCACCTTTGTGACAAAAGTCCACAGTTAAGAATTGTTAGTAGACCCTTTGCAGGCATTGCTAGAACTGCAGTGGCCAAAATGGAGTTCAATCCCTTCGTGACTTCAAATCGAAGCAAGAACCATAAAAGGCATTTCAATGTACGTCCCCACATTCGCAGGAAGAGTCTGTCTTCCTCTCCTTCCAAAGAGCTGAGGCAGAAGTATAAGGTTCCATCTATGCTCATCCAAGAGGATGATGGGCTCGGGTTGTTCGAGGACACTATAAAGGTCAGCAGACTGGCAAAGTAGTCCAGGTTTACAGGAAGAAATGTGTCATCTATACGGAATGGGTGTAGAGGGGAAAGGCAAGCGGCACAACTGTCCATGCGGACATTCACCCCAGCATGGTGGTCATCAACAGCCTACAACTAGAAAAAGACTTTAAAAGATCCTGGAATGAGAAGCCAAATCAGGCCAAGTAGGAAAGGAAAAGGAAAAGGAAAAATATAAGGAAGAAACAACTGAGATGATGCAGGGATAAAGTAATCTCATATACATTTGGGTTTTTTTTTGGTACCAGGGATCGAACTCGGGTCCTTGAGCTTGCAAGGCAAGTGGCAGAACCACTGAGCTAAATCCCCAGCCCTCATATACAATTTTAATTAAAAACTGCTAAAATTAAAAAAAAAATTGTCACCAATCCTAACCACCTTCTCCCCCTCCAAATCTCAGGAATTACTCAGGCTTCACTGGTATTCACAAAGCGCCTAAGGTCCAACTTCCCGTTTGTCTTGTGCTTCCCCTTCAAGGCCTGCCTGGTTTTTCCCCTACAGCACAGTTTTGTACTCGGAAGTCCAATGCTACCTTGCTGACTGCTCAGTTGGGCATCCCTTCTCCATTCCTATCCTCAGTTCAGAAACCAATGTGACTCTGACCCAATGAAATCAGCACCTCTAAGGGTGGGGCCTGAGCCCCTGCAACTGTCAAAGCTCTCTGGGTGATTGCAACGTGGGGCCAGGATAGAGGGCCACAGACTCTCAACCAGTACTTTACATCTGTGTGAAATAAACATTAGAAGTTATTCCTTTTTTTCTTTTCAAAGATTCTCTCAAGAACAAGAGTTCTCAAACTTGTGTATCAGAGTTACATGGAGACTGATTAGAAACCGGACTCCTGGACCCCTTACCCAGAGTCTCTGATTCAGAAGATTTGGAGTTGAGCATGAAAATTTGCTTTTCTACCAAGTTTGGAGCGGATGTTGATGTAGCTGGTCCATGGACCACACTTTGAGAACCTCTGCCCTTGAGCACCTGGGCAAGGCCTTCACATGGCAAGGGGGGGTGGCATCATTCATTACCAGGGCCCTACTAGAGGAACCACACCATCACATAGCTGAACCACCCTCACCATCTTCATCCTGAACCTGAGCTATAGCAACAATGGAGTATTTTCTTATCTGTATTTGAAAGAATCCTAATCTTTAAAAGGAAAAAATCCAAGCTGGGTGTGGTGGCACTGGGCTGCTGTAGTGAGTTTAAGGCCAGTTTAAACTACACGAGACTGTCTCAAAAACAACCACAACCAAAAAAAGGAAAAATCCTCCCCTCCCTGCCTTCCTTCCTGGCTGCCTTTATTCTACCAGCACTGAAAATACACATCTAAGGATAGGGGCTGAGGTATGAGAAAGAAGAGTTAATACACTGGCTGTGTGACCTCTGGCAAATGACTTTATCTCTCTGTACTCAGTTTTCTGGTCTGTAAAGATAAGGGTAATATAACCTGCCTTTCAGACTTCTTCTGAGATTAAATTATATGTTAAAATGCCTGGCTCGTAACTAGCATGAGCTCATAACTCCACAATGGTTGCCCGTGACTACTGTCATTAACAGTACTAGAGTTGTTATCATGATTATTGAATCTCTATTTTTTTTTCTGCCTTCACTCCAGCTTTCTTCCCCAACCATCTCCTCTTTCCACAAACACTGCTTCCTTTGGCTTTCAGACTGGTTTTCTTGCTGTGTCTAGCAGGAGCTCTTCTGCCTGTCTTACAGGCTTCTCCTCCCCTCAGCCATGAAGGGCAGGAATCTCACAAGGCCAGGTCCCAGGCCCTCTCCTTTCCTCACTCTACCCGTGTTGGACCATCACACCTGCAGTTTCTGAGGCCCTCTCCCCAGAAGGCTCACCATAGACCTCCGCTTGGGAATTCCCCTGTAAGCTCCACTTATCCAACTGTGTTTCTGCCCTCCTTCCAGATGCCTCCCAGCCACTCAAACCCAACATGTCCAAACTGACTCCATCACCTCCCCAGCAGGCTGGCCCTCTGCCAGTTTTACAAGTCAAAAAACTGGCAGTCATCCTTAATCCTCCTCTCCCTCATCTCTTACCTCTGCCACCACACCCCACAACTTTTACCTATTGTGACCCTACAGCTCGCGTCTGACTACTTCTATCTCCTCCATCATGATTACCAGTCTGACCCAAGCAACTGTCATGTCTTGTCTAGATTCTTGTGTCACCTTGTTAGTCATACTTCCCACATTCATTCCAGTCCCCGTCCAAATGCTGGTCACACTACAGGCAGAGGGACGCTGTTGAAATAGAAATCTGATTGCAATTCATTCAGTTTCCTCCTTTCACTCTGCTTAATTTTTTTAAAAACTTCTTGCTACTCTTAGAATAAATAGAAAACTCCTTAATATGTCTCAAGGCCTGTATGATCTCCTGAGTCATTTGCCTCCCAACTGTCCCTTGTTACCTTTGCCCCAGGACTTTGACTTATGTTGTTCCTGCTCGCTGGGATGATTTTCCCTCTCTTCTCCCACAGTGAATCCTTCCTCGGCCTTCAGATTTCACTGCTGCAATCTCGTCAAGAGAGCCGTCTCTGATTTCTCTGACAAGGTCAAATCCCCCTATTATGAGCAACATCCAGCTCAGCGGAGGTCTTATTTGTATAATTGATTTATGATCCCTGCCCAACAGTCTATACGTTTCAAGAAGGTAGGAACGCTTGGCAATTCTGGTCTATGTTTTTAAGGGAATTAGAGACTCCAAAGAGAAGCCGCTAGAATTCCCCTTTAAAAGTAAGTGTCACAATGGAAAAAGATTAAGGGCTTTAAGACAGAAACAGAACCAAAGGGTAGTCTAATATTTGTATTAGACTACTGCAAGTCTTTACTGTTTAATGAGTTAAAGAAGAGTCAGCCTGCCACAGGATGCCTCCTGTCAGCAGGCTCTGGAGACGGGTGACCATTCCTACCATTCCAGCTACACTGGGTCTGTCTGCATCAACAATCCAGCCTGGAACAGTTCTGTTGGCCCTTTGAAGAATCGAGTTTATTCTCCTGAGCAACCCCACTGACTATAAGCTCAAGATTGCCTAGGTAGGCACTGAACAATCTGTTCACTCTACTGAGCATCAGAAGAGGAGGAATTTTTGTTGCTTGAGCTCCTTAGGGCATCTCCAGCACTTAGAGCTGAGGTCCCTAGTGTATCCGTCTTGAGTGCCTGTGTTCTTTAATGCCCACCATGGCCCAGGATTCCAGTGCTAGAATTTCAAAAATAACCCAGAGTTGGTTTCCAATGTTATTTCTTTTGTTAACCTCATTTTGAACTATTCTTACTTTAGCCCACTTTGAACTTTAG